AAAGCTTAAGGGGTGAAGCGAGAAATGGGATATGCCTTAAAGGGATTAATTGTAATTGACCCTTTTAAAATGATAATTTTACGTGTTTTACAAAATTAAATAGGTAAAATTTGATCCCAACCTAAATTTTCGATCATTGTTTACCTTGAATCAATCACGTGATCCACACATGTTCATCTTTTTTTGGGACAAAAAGTTAAATCCCATTTATAATTAAATAAATGATTCTATTCATATTTATTTTGCCATTAGAAAAGCAAGATCTGATCCGAACTATATTATTTTTTTCCTAAAAAGGTAAAATCTGATCCAATCTATATTTATTTTTACCATTGAAATGGTGGTATCAACATTTTTGACATAAAAAATAACTGTATGTTGATCACATGGTAATTTCAAACTAAAAAGTATTCAAAAATTTAGGTTGATACCAAATTTTGCTAATTTAGATTTGCAAGGGATGTTAAGTTAACATTTTAACAAGTGAAAGATGAAAAAATTAATTTGATAAAATGTAAGAGATGTTTTGAATGTTTTTCCCCAATTATTATAACTTGTAAGTATATATGGATTGTACTAGGAATGCTCCAGAATAACTTGTAACCATCAGTAGAATAATACCAAGCATTCTACTATCCACTTATCTTCGAAACACCATTCGGTACAAACGAGTGGTGTACAAGTTCTCCAGAATTTTTGGATTTCTATACTGTAAGATTTTTTCCATTACAATCTTTTTAGACGGATTGTTTTTTGTCTGTAATGAAACGGATGACAATATATACGTCTTGACTTTTTAAAAAAACAATTAGCAACAGAATAAACTGAATCTGCCTCGAGAAAGAACCTTTTTTTTTTTTTTTTTGGGGAATGAGTACTAGATAGAGTTGAACGTCATTTCTAGTTCAAAATAGTGAAAATTTCGTTCTACGGAAGTTAACTAATTAGCAGGATAGAAACTCTATCAACTAAAAAAGTCTTGATTCTTGAATGTAAAAAAATACATAAAGAAATAAAATTGTAAAAAAATAAAATAAATATAAAAAAAATACACATATAATAGGAAAAAGAGAGCAACTAAAGTACATAAAGAATAAAACAGAAAGAGCAGGTGCAGTTTCAACCTTGGGTTAATTTTACTTTCCACCCTTTAACTATGTCTGAATTTTTATTTTAGTCCTTAAGTTTTTTTTTTGAAGGATTTTAGTCCTTAAGTTTAAAAAAAAAAGATACTTTAAATTCTAAAATATAAAATTTATTTCAGTTTAATCTGTAAAGTATAAAATGTGTCCCTCATTAGCCCCAAATATATAAAGTTTGCTCCACTTTAATCCCTAAAATATACAATTAGTATCATCTAAGTATAAAAACTACCTCACTTACGTTAATCATTTTACTTAAGTTGGAGAAATTTTATATTTTAAGAACCAAAGTGTCCCATTCAAAAGTTTATCAGATCAAAATAGAAATTCGAGAATAATTTAAGGACACAAAGTGGAATTAACCCTTCAACTTTCAGTGCACATGAGCATGATCACTACTTACCAGATGACTCTTTGCAAAAAGAAGCCAACATCTCTTTGAACCACCCCAATTGAGTTCCCAAAGACACATTCGTGAAAGGATTATGAATTCCTCTTTCCCTGAAAACTGAATCGTCTATCGCTGTAGCTCCTATTACTGCAAAATTCGAGCCTTTAATAAAATCTGACCTTCCCCTTATGTCTTTTCCGGCAAAATATGGCCGTATCAGTGGAAACCCGAGACTCTCAGCTACAGTAAGAAATTTTCAATACATTAATACCTATACAAAACAAAGAAATGGCTAACCAGCCAATAGAACAGCAATTTAGCAGTCATATTTGATAATTTTTCTAAGAGAAGTAGGAATCGAACGCTTGCCTTGGCACGAAAAGAATAAATTAATGTGTGCATGCACATGCGTATGTATATATGTGTGTGTGTGCGGTGATTCAGTCTTTTGACCTACCAATGAAGTCGATGACAAGACGACCATCGGAGCAACGACCAGTAGGGTGGTGAAAGAAGGTTTCACCATAAGGTGGTAGGAAAAAGTGTGGAGGAGTATTGGAGAGGAGGAGGAGGAGGAGGAGGAGGAGAGGCGGTCCAGGCGGAGTAAGTTGCCAGTGTCAGCAAGGGAATCACCAAAACTGATGATGGAATTGTAGCATGTTCCAGCTGATGATGCTCTTGCTGTAATTGATGGATTTAGGCAGGTAAGTATGATTGTTGTGAACACAGATGTTAGTAATGGGATAGAAGATGAGGCCATAATCTAGTGCCAAATGGCAATAATGGTAAAGGTTTAAGAACTTAAAAAGAATCTGCAACAAAGTTTGCTAGATGCTGAATGCTTCTTATTTCAGAAAGTGATGCACTTTTTATGCTGATTCATGAAGCACTCCACTCCACTAACTTGTTGCAACAGTGAGAGAACGTCACCACCAAGCAAGAGATTGTTGACACGGGACTGAAGACTAGTATTCTTCGGAGTATGACAATAACTATACGACAATAACTATACGATTTGACATCTAATTGTCTTTTTTTTTTGGGGTTAAATTTCACTTGAAACCCATCAACTATAAACACACATCTATTTTTAGTCCTTAAACTTCAATGTTGGGTACTTTGTCTGCTAAAATATAAAATCAATCTCGCTTTAGTCCTTCAATTTCAATTTTTGACGCTTTACTCCCAAAATTCATCCCACTTTAGTATTTAAATTTTGAGTACCATACTTGCCTACTAAATTTCATAGGATGTATTTGAAAATTTCGTAGGATGTATTTTATACTTTAGGGGATAACATATCTAAAGTTAAAGTTTAAGGATTAAAATAGGATGAATTTCATATTTTAAGGTACAGTATCCCAAATGAAAGTCTAGGAATTAATGTGAGAGTGTTTCCATAGTTTAAGAACGTAATGTGAAATTTAGCCCTTTTCTCTTGGGGAAAAAGATCCTCCAACCTAGAGGTGGCAATATGGATAAATGGTTCATAATTGGTTTTGACTTAATGGATGGTGGATGAAATTTATCCAATCCATTTGGATCCATTTAATAAATGGATCTAAATGGATTAAATAAAAATCAATTATCCATTTATAATCCATTTAAATATTTTTGTTACTTTTTTTTTGTATTACCATTTCTTGTAAATTCAGGCCACAAAATACCACGGATGTAAATTCAAGCAAAATGAACCTTCATTTCACTAAAAAACTATCTGAAATTATTATTATTATTATTATTATTATATATGTATATATATATTACATATTACAGAGTAGCCATATATTACAAACTAGCCCAAACAATAGAAGTCCTGCATAGACCGTATGCAGGGTATCTACAAAAATACCAACACTAGCTTTTATTCGTAGTCACGCAACACTTGCAATGTCTACTACTAAAGCCACGGATGACTTTTGAGCTCAACATTTAGTAATCAGGTGCATGGGTGTACCAAGCAGGGAGGCTGAACCGCAAATTCTGTGGTGCCAGGCTTGCACTCTAATCCTCCACAAGGAATCGTTGGGAAAAAGTAATGGGTTTGCTTCATAGCCAACCGAATCTCACCCTCTTCAAAGCCAATCGAAATCCCAAGTACTGTGGAGTCTAGAAGAAGAAACAAAGGAATGATTAATTAGTTCAGCAGTAAACCCAACATTCAGTTTCAGTTTTGGTTACTATTCACGGGGACGGCTTTTTCACACCCCAACTACAATTTTAGGATGGCTCCTTTTTTTAGCCATTTCCTTTCCATCTCTTTTATTTGGTTTTTAAGTAAATGGATATATATGGTTTTTGTGGATAATCCATATAAATCCATTTAATTTAATGATTTTACTTTGATCAACCATTTAAAACCAATACTATAAATGGATAATCCATTATCCATTTAATTATGGATTATATGGATAGATAAATGGATCTTAATCCAAATTGTCGTTTCTACTCCAACCTTTCTATACGCACAAGTCATGGATATGCCGTACGTGTGTTTACATAAACGTCTATTTTGTGTTTTTAGATGCATGCATGCGTCAATAATGAATAAATTCCAAAATTTCAAGCTTTAAAGTTTTGCTATAGAGAAACAAAAGATTATCCCTATAAAATTAAAAAGAGTTATGGAAAATTGATTAGTTTCAATTTAACCTCTAAAAATTGTTACTATCTCAAATAAGCCCCATAAATCATTTGCCACAATTTATCCCTTTGACTTTTAAAAAATGTTAAAAAACGTATTTAAAAAAAAAAGGCTTTTAAAGTACGTTGTAATCCAACCTCTGTTGATAATACTATAATCTAACATTCGTATTAGGACTCTTTATGGTGTTTTTTTTTTTTTTTTTTTTCCAATCATACGAAGACTTAAAGTTGTGCTACGGAAAGATGAAGCATACATGTGCAAAAAGAAAAGGAAGAAAGAAAATAAAAGATTCTATTCTCTTGAAGAAATATTATCTAACTCCCCAATCCAATTGGTGATAACTAGAAGCATTGAAAATGTTCAAGGGCTTAATTGAGATCATTGTTAACTTTGATGGGCTAAATTGATTTTTTTGATAGTTTTAGAAAAATTATTATTATTATTATTTTGTATAAGGACCAGACATCATATATATAGGTAACGTGGAAAATAGTGGATTGTAAAAGGGTGAGATTTATTAGATGGCACTAATTAGCTGACTTGCACTATTATATTTTGGATTATTACGATTAAATTTGTACAATATGGTATGCATAATTCAATTAGTGTTTTGGCATATTGAACAGGTAAAGAATGAGATAATAATAAGCTAGATATATTTACATATAATATCAAACTAGAAATGAGCATGTTCATTACAAGTAGAGGTGTCAAAATGGGTGATTTGGGCAGGTTTGGGTTGGGTAAAATGGGTAATGGGTATAAGTGAGTTAACTCATTTATACTCATTTAATTAGATGGGTATAAATGGGTAAGTCAAAAAATGAATTGGGTAACCCAATTACCCATTTATAACCCATTTATTTTAACTTTTTGTAAACTCATTTAAATTCATTTTTGCAAACTAAGTTATCAATTTATACCACTCTTTGTACCCATCATTAGTTTTAAATATTTATTTATAATGTTCAATAAACTTAATTACCAATTTTTTTCATTTATACTCTATGTCACAAAATTACCTATTATTTAATAATTGAATAATAAGAATATAAAAATTTGAACTAAGCACTATAAAAATTAATATAAAAACTTAATCCAAAAATTTTGAACCCCTAACATTTTTTTCATATATAAATTTAAATTTTCATTTTAGAAAAATAAGAAAATAGGCTAAAATTTATCATAAATTAGTAATGCTGAAAAATGAGCAAGTTAACAAACTGAGAGAAAATAAAATAATAAGATAAAACCAACAAAATAATAATAATAATAATGAAACAAAAGTAGTTAACATCATGACAAAATAAAAAATTTGAAAAAAAAAATGGGTGGGGGAAAGAAGAGACTTGGGGGGAAGAGAATTTTAAATGGGTTAATTGGGTTTGATGGGTTACCCAATAATACCCATTTAATAAATGGATATTATTGGGTAACCTATTTATACCCATATACAAAAATTTAAGATACCCATACCCATCTATTCATGGACGGGTATGGATAAATTTAATTAAATGGATTGATTTGCCACCTCTAATTACAAGTATATTGGACACCAATTATGACCTTAGATTATTTATTTGTGCACAGGACTGCAAAAATTTGGCTTCGCCTCAAGCCAAATTATGGCCAATTATGAGTATGTGCATTGCAAGTGTACTGGACAGCAATTATGGCCTTGGATTATTTACGCTCTCTACTTATCCGTTTTCTCCGTTTTCTCTTTTCTCTCAACCTTTTCTCTACCATTTTTCCTCCATACGATAAAAAATCTTGATCTCAAATCAAGGTCTCCCTTCCACTTCCTCTGTTTTTGTTTTTTGTTTAATAAAATCTCTCCTACAATATTTTAAAGGGAGTTTTGTCTCTCCTAATATTTATTAGTAAAAATTTTCCGCTCTCTGAGACTATTCTAATGGGAGTTTTGTTTAGTTTTTGTTATTTGTTCTTAGATTTAATTTTTTTTTTCAGATCTATATGTTAAATCTAAAATTTCTTATGTTTTCTTGTCAGATTTCATCACTAGTTTTGAGTTTGAACCAATTGGATAGCAGATTTGAGGAAATAGACATGCAGAGATATTTATGAAACAACTCGTGCATTTAGTCAAATCTGATGGTTTGTAATTCACAATATAATCTTTAATGATTTTTCATATCAGATATATCTGTGACATGTTTTATGTATTTTCTGCTATTAGTGTCGATGGTTTTGTCCAGCAAATCATGCTGGATGATTTTCAGCTATTTTATTAATAATAATTACTTTTTTATCAAAAAAGGACTGTAAGAATTTGTAGACCCTCTTGTCTGATATAATGACATTTTTTTGTAGAAAATTTTTAAGTTGAATCTTTAAATACCTAAGAAAAGAAATCTCACATGAGATTGATGTGAACAAAATAAATAAATGCTCCATTTATTTTTTCCCTTTTTGGCACTTGTTATTTGCTATGCAAATTGAAGTTTAGAAAAAGTATTGGAGTGGCAATTTATTTAAGAAGAGCAATAGGATGACAGACACTGTGAATTTCACCCTCAAAGACGTCAATGAAGACGGTTTCTTCAATTTTACAAATTTAGTTTCTTAATTATGCTTAATTATTAAGCGAGCCCTAAAGCTTTTTTCTTCTCCATCTGATTCTTCCTCTTGTCCCTTTTTGGTGCCCATATCACAATATCCCTATTCTCTATTCTCCTTTCTCCTAATGTAATCCACCCTGCTGTGGAAACGAATCTTTAGTTATTATTATACGACAAAATTTCATAGTAAATAATCAATTGAATCAACTTACAAGAAACCAACCCAAATTTAAAGAAATCTTTCACTCTTTCACGAAACCCAGCCCAGCTCTGTCAACTCCAAATCCAGTCAAAGATTCGTTTTCTTATCTCCAATTTAAATAAATCTTTCATGTAATTCCTTTTAAATACTTCAAGCACTCCACTTCTTAGGTTAAGACTTTTATGGCTTATGGAAATTTTGCCCTTCATAGTTTCCATGAAAATACTCATTCATAATCATAACACATGCATACATATATTTTCTAGTTTACATGTATATATACACTATTCACCGATGGACACAAGTTAACATTTTAGAGAGGTTAAAATAAAGTGATATAGATAATTATTGCATCATAAAACTATGACCATTGCTTGTGGAGTTGAGGGGTTCATTTTATTTTATTTTTTTTTCTCTCTCACCCTTCTCAACACCCTTCCCACCATTAACTTTCAAGTCCATGATTCAAACTCTAAACCTGATAGTGGGGTGAACTCTAAGAACCACTTGATCAACCTAATAGTTGGTTCATTTTAGTTTTAATTATGCAATCTACTAAAAAGTTTTGGAAAATGGCCAATTTAATCCCTAAATTTTTTTTCGTTGATTTAGTCCCTATATATTATTTGTAGCAAATTTGATCTTTAAACTTATATTTTGGTTCCAATCAAGGAACTTAGTGATGGCATCACAGCATAATTTCCATCAAGCTCCTAATCGAGCAACCCAGAAGGGGTATTTTAAAAAAAAATCCTCTCTCTAGTAGGGGCTCTCTCTCTCTTGAAAAGAGAGCTTTTCTTTCCTTGGTGGGAGAACGGGAAGTTTCAAAAAGTTTCAAAAGTTTCAAAATTTCAGACAATCTTTAAGATACCAGACAACCAAGATCCAAGACAACTTTGCACGATCCCACTATGAAGGACGAATTAAAGACAACAAACAAAGCTCTTAACTGAGGTGTGCGGTGTCTTAAAGGCATCTCATGGCTGGTACCTGTTCTTACCTTGCTTTAAATGTCATTTGCATTAGTGTTAGGAACTTTTTCACGTAGTATAGTTGCCTACCAGAACTGCATTTTGAGAAAAAGTATATTTTCTGCCTTCCTTGTAGTTTTTTTGGTGTTTTCTGTTTCTTCCGTAATATTGTGTGGTGTACCAGTGCTACCTCTCTGTAAGTCCCATGGCTGAGGAACTAGCAGATATATTACAAAGTTTTGAGCTTTCGAGTAAGGAGCTCCAGATTACTGATGTGGGGAGGGATGAGCTTGCTATTGGCATCAGGGAGTGCCAATGCAGCTTGATAGGGAAGGTTGTGGGCGAAAAGATTGCTAATTATACAGGTGTCAAGAACTTTGTCACCACAGCCTGGAGTTACCCTAGAGGTTTGAAAATAGCAGAGTTAGGGCCGAATACTTTCCAGTTCATACTCCCTGGAGAAAATGACAGAGAAAGAGTTATGAACGGAGGGCCTTGGATTCTGGATAATCAGATGTTAGTGTTGAACAGATGGTATGAAGGTATAGAGGAGGATGAAACAGCCTTTAAACTGGCTCCAATATGGGTGCAAGTTTGGAATCTCCCAGTGCATTGGATGTCCAAAGAGGCAAGGAGGAAAATAGGAGCTGTATTTCACCAAGTGAGAGATGTGTTAATCCCACAAATAGGCGGGAAGGAGGGAAGACATCTCAAACTTTCTGTACTGATGGACATTACACAACCTCTTCTGAGAGGAACAACAGTTAAGGTGGCAGGGAGTGCAAAATGGGCTTGCTTTAAGTATGAAAGGTGCCCAGACTTTTGTTATAGCTGTGGCAGAATAGGTCACAGTGAAAGAACATGTGATAAACCTTTGCGGGTAGGAGAGGGGAAAAAGGATAATCAGTTTGGTACATGGATGCG